AGTTGGATGGGCTAATTACAGATGGGCTGTGTACAGGTGCAGTGATCGGTAAGCTGCTCTGACAACTGACGCCTAAAGTTAGTGAGGGAGATAAGAGTCTCCAGCTTCAGAGATTTTTGCAGTTCGTTCCAGTCATTGGCAGCAGAGAACTGGAAGGAATGGCGGCCAAAGGAGGTGTTGGCATTGGGGATGACCAGTGAGATATACCTGCTGGAGCGCAGACTACGGGTGGGTGTTGCTATGGTGACCAGTGAGCTAAGATAAGACTGGGATTTGCCTAGCAGTGATTTATAGATGACCTGGAGCCAGTGGGTTTGGCGACGAATATGTAGTGAGGGCCAGCCAACAAGAGCGTACAGGTCACAATGGTGGGTAGTATATGGGGCTTTGGTGACAAAACGGATGGCACTGTGATAGACCAATTTGCTGAGTAGAGTGTTGGAGGCTATTTTGTAAATGACATCGCTGAAGTCAAGGATCGGTAGGATAGTCAATTTTACGAGGGCATGTTTGGCAGCATGAATGAAGGAGGCTTTGTTGCGAAATAGGAAGCTGATTCTAGATTTTACTTTGGATTGGAGATGCTTAATGTGAGTCTGGAAGGAGACTTTACAGTCTAACCAGTCACCTAGGTAAGACCCGCCGAGAGTAGTGATTCTAGTCGGGTGGGCGGCTGCAAGCAGCGTTCGGTTGAAGAGCATGCATTTAGTTTTACTAGTGTTTAAGAGCAGTTGGAGGCTACTGAAGGAGTGTTGTATGGCATTGAAGCTCGTTTGGAGGTTTGTTAACACCGTGTCCAATGAAGGGCCAGATGTATACAAAATGGTGTCGTCTGCGTAGAGGTGGATCTGAGAGTCACCAGCAGCAAGAGCGACATCATTGATATACACGGAGAAAAGAGTCGGCCCAAGAACTGAACCCTGTGGCACCCCCATAGAGACTGCCATAGGTCCAGACAACAGGCCCTCCGATTTGACACGTTTAACTCTATCTGAGAAGTAGTTGGTGAACCAGGCGAGGCAGTCATTTGAGAAACCAAGGCTATTTAGTCTGCCAATAACAATGCGGTGGTTGACAGAGTCGAAAGCCTTGGCCAGGTCGATGAAGACGGCTGCACAGTACTGTTAATTATCGATCGCGGTTATAATATCGTTTAGGACCTTGAGCGTGGCTGAAGTGCACCCATGACCAGCTCGGAAACCGGAATGAGGTCAATATCCATCCAGGATACCCGGGCCAGGTCAATTAGAAAGGCCTGCTCGCTAAAGTGTTTTAGGTAGCGTTCGACTGTGATGAGGGGTGGTCGTTTGACCGCGGACCCATTTACGGATGCAGGCAATAAGGCAGTGATCGCTGAGTTCCTGGTTGAAGACAGCGGAGGGGTATTTAGAGGGTAAATTTGTCAGGATGATATCTATGAGGGTGCCCATGTTTACAGATGTTGGGTTGTACCTGGTAGGTTCGTTGATAATTTGTGTGAGATTAGGGGGGGTCTAGTTTAGATTGTAGGTTTGCCGGGGTGTTAAGCATATCCCAGTTTAGGTCACCAAGCAGTACGAACTCTGAGGATGGATGGGGGGGGCAATCAGTTCACATATGGTGTCCAGGGCACAGCTCGGGGCTGAGGTGGGCTGTAGCAAGCGGCAACAGTGAGAGACTTATTTCTGGAAAGGTGGATTTTTAGAAGTAGAAGCTCAAACTGTTTGGGCACAGACCTGGATAGTATGATAGAGCTCTGCAGGCTATCTCTACAGTAGATTGCAACCCCACCCCCTTTGGCAGTTCTATCGAGACGGAAAATGTTGTAGTTGGGGATGGAAATTTCAGAATTTTTGGTGGCCTTCCTAAGCCAGGATTCAGACACTGCTAGAACATCAGGGTTGGCGGAGTGTGCTAACGCAGTGAATAACTCAAATTTAGGGAGGAGGCTTCGGATGTTAACGTGCAAGAAACCAAGGCTTTTACGGTTACAGAAGTCAACAAATGATAACGCCTGGGGAGTAGGAGTGATACTGGGGGCTATAGGGCCTGTGTTAACCTCTACATCACCAGAGGAACAGAGGAGGAGTAGAATAAGGATACGGCTAAAGGCTTTAAGAACTGGTCTTCTAGTGCGTTGGGTACAGAGAATAAAAGGGGCCGATTTCCGGGCGTTGTAGAATAGATTCAGGGCATTATGTACAGACAAGGATATGGAAGGATATGAGTACAGTGGAGGTAAACCTAAGCGTTGGGTAACGATGAAAGAGATAGCATCACTGGATGCACCATTTAGTCTGTCTCCGCGGGTGGGTCAAAGGAGCTGTCTAAGGCAGGTTGAGCTGGGCTGGGGGCTCTACAGTGAAATAGTACAATAAGAAATAACCGAAACAGCAATAAGTAAGGCAAATTGACATGGGAGAGAGGCATAAAGCAATTACAGGTGTTATTCAAGAGAGCTAAGACAACAGCTGGTAATGGCGACAAAGTTTGGGCTGAGGCTAAACATTAACAGGATGCGGTACCGTATAAAGGAACAGTCCAGCAGGCATCAGCTGTATAGCTAAGTTATCATAAGGTCCGGTGAACAGCAATAGGAGAGTTCGGAGGTAGCTCGGGGGCTACTACAGCACTGGCGAGCAAGAGGCCCGGCTTGCGTGTGCTAGCGGGCCGGGGCTAGCAGATGGATCTTCGTGGTTGACGTCGTAACGGGAAGCGTGTTGAAACCACATCAGACGATTTCGTTGGCAAACCAGTCGTGTTGGATCGGCGGGGCTCCGTGTCAACACTAGGAGGTCCCGTCCGGTTGACAGAGAGGTAGATAGCCGGGAGATGGGCCTGACTCGAGGCTAGCTCAAGGCTAACTGGTGCTTGCTAAGGGGCAATGTTAATTAGCCAACGACAACAGCCATTTGGTTGCAGCTAGCTGGTTGCGATGATCCGGCGCTAGGGTCCAGTGATTCCGGCAGAAAATCCGATATGCTCTGGGTCACTGAGTTAAAGCAGTTCTGCATGGAAGAGTGGGCCAAAATTCCTCCACAGCGACGTGAGACTGATCAACAACTACAGGAAGCATTTGGTTGGAGTCATTGCAGCTAAAGGTGGCACAACCAGTTATTGAGTGTAACGGGGCAATTACTTTTTCACACAGGGGAATTGGGTGTTGCATAACTTTATTTATGAAATAAATTAAATAAATATGTAATTGTTGTGTTATTTGTTCACTTATGTTCCCTTTATCTAATATTAGGTTTTGGTTGAAGATCTGGTAACATTCAGTATCACAAATATGCAAAAGTAGAGAAAATTAGAAAGGGGGCAAATACTTTTTCATAGCACTGTATTTGTTGTTTTAAATTATACTGTCAATCATTGTTCCCTCAAAAAAAAAATGTGGCACTGAGCAAATTTCAGGCCTGCTGAGCGCAAACTTGAACGTTCTGAAAATTCTGTGCAACTTCCAGCGCGCGGACACTGAGGCTGTACCCGCTTTAAGTTAGTTTTAACAGTGGCCAAGTTGGCTACTGTGGCTATTTGATCATAATGTAGGCCTATCAAAGTGGCCTACCATCAAAAACAATGAAGAAAATGCATCCCATAATATTTTAACATTGAAATAGCTGTTCTATCATTCAGCCTACAGTAGCAGCCAATGTGTGGTGTTCAATGTAGATTCCATGAGACTTTTGGAAAAAAACTTGCAGTGCTTGACATTAACCTGTTTATCCACTAGTCCTTCAGACAAGGAGGTGACTGAAAATGTTGTGTTTGATGCAAGAAACCATTTTACAAAATAAAATGCATTATTATTCCCATACTATTATTACAGAGAATCAGACAAATTATACTACCCTCTGCCTATTGGCTACTTAGCTTATTCAAGCCTGTCTCAAAATACAACACTGCCTCTTTAAGACAAAAAAAAAGCTCTTTACCTGACTCGCTTTTCAAAGATGTCTAGAAATGTGTACGTTTGGTGCTCTTGTAGGAAGCAATCACTCCCCAATTGCTGACTACAAATGATCTATAACTGGGCTAATAACTCACTAACTAGCAAAGGATATGAACAAAATGTGCACACATGGCTACATGCAGCTCTTGCTTTGATCACAAAACAAGCGCATCTACTCACGACCACTCATGCTGTAAACACAGTCCAGTTCAAAGTAAATGGCACAGATCCATATATGGCAATGGTCTATTTGCGTATAGGCCTACTGCAGCTCTGATTGGCTATGCCGCACTGGTCTGCGTAGAGTACTGGCTGAGTCGTGCGCAATAGAATCGTACTCCATGCGTTCTGCCTACAACAACATCTCTTGCATAGTTTGTTTTGTTTCGGTATGTTGCATTACAAGTGGCTAATATTGCGTTGATTCGATCACAATTGCCACAGTAAAGGGTGGGGTATCCGAAATGGGTCAACTTTGAGCACCTTTTATCTATTGAATGTTTTGGCATTCGGGTCTTAAAAGTCACTTTCTGACCCCTTCTTTAATGGGCAAACATGTATGGAAAGTTTTCAATCAAAAGGGATGCTGTCAAAAAGTGATTGAATTCAAATGGATTTACCCAATAGACTAGGCTTTTTGCTTGGTGTGCCCACTTTTGATTCACCCCATGCATTTAGTATCCTAGATGCATATGGCATATTACTAGCCACACTATACCTTATGGCTGGGACGATACCAGTATCGCAATATTTTTTCCATGGCAAAAATGAAAACATGAAGCAGACCAAATTCTGTTCCTTTAAACACCTGCTGTATGTAACATATTGTCTGCTATAGCTTGGAAAATAAATTTAAATGTGTATCTGGATGACAAACTTTGTTTCCAACATTAGGGCTGTTTTCCTAAAGAAGTTAAATCTGCTTCGTGTTTTGTTTCCCTGCCACGATACTAATGAGTGTCTCGATACTGGTATTGTCCCGGCCCTACTAAATTGTATTGTTTCCGTCTTCTGTTAGATGGAGAAGCCTCCCCTGCCCAATGACGATGACACGGCGGTGACACCAGAGTCTCAGCTGGGCTGCTTGGCTGGCGAGGATAGTCAGGAGGGTGTAGTGGAGCCCCCCGCCCGGGATGGCTGGGACAGTAAAGTGGAGTATTTCCTGGCTCAGGTGGGATTCAGCGTTGGCCTGGGCAACGTGTGGAGGTTCCCCTACCTCTGCCATCAAAATGGAGGAGGTGAGGATGGTGTCAATATCAGTGGGTAAAATGTTTTAGTCATTTAGCAGACACTTATCCAGTGACTTACAGTAGTGAAGTACATACATTTTCATATTTCTTTCTCACCTGGGCCCATACTCACAACACGTCTCTGATTATTATTCCTGGTCTAGGATCAGTTTTGCCTTTTTAGATCATTATGAAAAAGATGACATGGACAAGGGGGACCTGATCCTAGATCAGCACTCCTGCTCTGAGACGTGTTATGAATACTGGCAAAGGTCTGAGGAGGCAAACTACTTGAACATTTTCCTCTAATCTTTGCTGTGAATGAATTTGTCTTGGAAAACAATATCTCAGTATTGCTTTTTAGTGCATCTTAAAATGTCCTAATGGATTTGCCAATATGATTAAATGACTATCCTCGCTGTCATGTTAACAAACACTTAGCCCTCATGAACACTTTTATATTTTACTCCCTCCCACAGGGGCCTTTCTCCTCTTATACGTGCTGCTCATGATCCTGGTGGGCATTCCCCTGTTCTTCCTGGAGCTGGCGGCTGGTCAGTCCATCCGGCAGGGCAGCATCGGGGTGTGGAAGCACATCTCTCCCAAGCTGGCGGGGATCGGCTACTCCAGCTGTGTGGTGAGAGATTAAACAAAGTAGCTTCCCGCTAGTCATACAAAAGCGGTCACCTGGGGCAGATTCATTACGCCGATTTTGTTGCAAAACTTTTCTTAAACGGAACAGGGAGGACTTACCTGAATTTGTCCAATAGAAACTCTTGTTTGCTTTGTTTGCTACCCTTTTGTTTTTTTAAACAGTTTCCATAATGAATACACCCCTAACCTGACTACACATGGCCCAAGGCCAAAGATTAGCAATGCTTCAGTTTGAGCACGAGATTTGAAATCCTATGGGCGCATTGCAATTGACATTACATAACAACACTTGACTGGAGAGAGTTCTAATAGAGTTGAAAGTTGTATCCCAAACATGTTATAAATATCAGGGTGTCGTATGAACATGAAATACCTGGTAGGAGATCCTATCACCAGCTTGAAGGAGACAATAATGTGTTACTAACCCATGTAAACCTTTTCTCATTTTCAGGTGTGTTTTTTTGTTGCTCTCTACTACAACGTGATCATCAGCTGGAGCCTTTTCTACTTAGGAAACTCATTTCAGTATCCGCTACCTTGGAAAGAGTGTCCTGAACACGGTAACACAACTGGTAAGGTAACACTCCCATGGCCACGACCCATCTGGGCCCGCAGTGGCTCGTGGGTCGGCGTACCCACATCCATACACACGCATGCAGTCAGAGCCCGACCCTCTTGACAGTGACAGTTTTTTGGGGGGAAATTTTATAACACATTTCAATCAATTCTACTCATTTTGCCATGGGGCGGAGAGAATATTGTGCAGTTTTACAGCTAATTTTCTGCAAGTATGCACATTTAACCATAGGGCGGAGACAAATGTGTTCAGTTTTTAATATGATATTTGATGGTCAGTGCCCCCCCCCCCCCCCCCCCCCCCAATCGTTAATTTGACCATGCTTACTGCAAGTTTAGATAGTCTAGTGGCCAGCTAATTTACCAATACATTTATTTTTTGCTGACATGAGCTAATTTAGTGACTCAGTGACTGACATACAGTGGGGAAAAAAAGTATTTAGTCAGCCACCAATTGTGCAAGTTCTCCCACTTAAAAAGATGAGAGAGGCCTGTAATTTTCATCATAGGTACACGTCAACTATGACAGACAAAATGAGAAGAAAAAATCCAGAAAATCACATTGTAGGATTTTTAATGAATTTATTTGCAAATTATGGTGGAAAATAAGTATTTGGTCAATAACAAAAGTTTCTCAATACTTTGTTATATACCCTTTGTTGGCAATGACACAGGTCAAACGTTTTCTGTAAGTCTTCACAAGGTTTTCACACACTGTTGCTGGTATTTTGGCCCATTCCTCCATGCAGATCTCCTCTAGAGCAGTGATGTTTTGGGGCTGTCGCTGGGCAACACGGACTTTCAACTCCCTCCAAAGATTTTCTATGGGGTTGAGATCTGGAGACTGGCTAGGCCACTCCAGGACCTTGAAATGCTTCTTACGAAGCCACTCCTTCGTTGCCCGGGCGGTGTGTTTGGGATCATTGTCATGCTGAAAGACCCAGCCACGTTTCATCTTCAATGCCCTTGCTGATGGAAGGAGGTTTTCACTCAAAATCTCACGATACATGGCCCCATTCATTCTTTCCTTTACACGGATCAGTCGTCCTGGTCCCTTTGCAGAAAAACAGCCCCAAAGCATGATGTTTCCACCCCCATGCTTCACAGTAGGTATGGTGTTCTTTGGATGCAACTCAGCATTCTTTGTCCTCCAAACACAACGAGTTGAGTTTTTACCAAAAAGTTCTATTTTGGTTTCATCTGACCATATGACATTCTCCCAATCCTCTTCTGGATCATCCAAATGCACTCTAGCAAACTTCAGACGGGCCTGGACATGTACTGGCTTAAGCAGGGGGACACGTCTGGCACTGCAGGATTTGAGTCCCTGGCGGCGTAGTGTGTTACTGATGGTAGGCTTTGTTACTTTGGTCCCAGCTCTCTGCAGGTCATTCACTAGGTCCCCCCGTGTGGTTCTGGGATTTTTGCTCACCGTTCTTGTGATCATTTTGACCCCACGGGGTGAGATCTTGCGTGGAGCCCCAGATCGAGGGAGATTATCAGTGGTCTTGTATGTCTTCCTTGTCCTAATAATTGCTCCCACAGTTGATTTCTTCAAACCAAGCTGCTTACCTATTGCAGATTCAGTCTTCCCAGCCTGGTGCAGGTCTACAATTTTGTTTCTGGTGTTCTTTGACAGCTCTTTGGTCTTGGCCATAGTGGAGTTTGGAGTGTGACTGTTTGAGGTTGTGGACAGGTGTCTTTTATACTGATAACAAGTTCAAACAGGTGCCATTAATACAGGTAACGAGTGGAGGACAGAGGAGCCTCTTAAAGAAGAAGTTACAGGTCTGTGAGAGCCAGAAATCTTGCTTGTTTGTAGGTGACCAAATACTTATTTTCCACCATAATTTGCAAATAAATTCATAAAAAATTCTACAATGTGATTTTCTGGATTTTTTTTCTTCTCAATTTGTCTGTCATAGTTGACGTGTACCTATGATGAAAATTACAGGCCTCTCTCATCTTTTTAAGTGGGAGAACTTGCACAATTGGTGGCTGACTAAATACTTTTTTTCCCCACTGTAACAATAGAAAAACTGCTGATGCACAACCAAAATCGAAATTGCACCTTTTTTTGTGTGGAAATTGATCCGCTGGAGCCGCCAGTTGCCTATCCCTGCCGTATATAGTGGACTACTTTTGAGAAAGTGGGCCCCATAAAGTGTACTAAATTAGGAATAGGTTGGTATTTCAGACACAACAATCAATCATATTCGTTGTCTAACATTTTCACCTGACCATTGCTTTGTGTCTTAATCTCAGTGGAGGAATGTGTTGCCAGCAGTCCTACCACCTACTTCTGGTTCCGGAAGGCTCTTAACATCACCGACTCCATCGACAATACGGGCGAGTTTAACCACGTCATCACCTGCTGCCTGCTGGCCGCCTGGACCATCGTCTGCTTGGGGATGTTCAAGGGCATCAAGTCCTCTGCCAAGGTACTGAATGTTCTGCTTCAAGGAGAAGTTTACCCAAAATCCAGAAACTCCCAAGTGATTCCAAACAACTAGTTCAGTGGAGTTTGCCCTCTCCCCCAAATGTCACTGTTTTCCGATAAAAGATAGAGAGGTGCAGAAGACGGCGTGTTTGAGAAGTGAAAGCGACAAAGCAAGTGTGTGGAGCTATGTAGCCTAGCCTGATTCTTGACGTTCGAGGTGTTCTTATTGTGTTATTACCATTGCACCATGTCATGTAGATATACAGTGCCTTCGGAAAGTATTCAGACACCTTGACCTTTTCTACATTTTGTTACGTTACATCCTTATTCTAAAAATGAGTAAAAAAAACACAATAAAACCTCAATCTACACACAATGCCCCATAATGATAATGCAAAAACAGGTTTTTAGACATTTTTGCTCATTTATAAAAAACTGAAATATACATTTACATAAGTATTCAGACCCTTTACTCAGTACTTTGTTGAAGCACCTTTGGCAGCGATTACAGCATTGATTCTTCTTCTTCTTGGGTATGACGCTACAAGCTTGGCACACCTGTATTTGGGGCGTTTCTCCCATTCTTCTCTGCAGATCCTCTCGAGCTTGTCAGGTTGGATGGGGAGCGTTGCTGCACAGCTATTTTCAGGTTTCTCTAGAGATGTTAGATCGGGTTCAAGTCCGGGCTCTGGCTGGACCACTCAAGGACATACATTCAGAGGCTTGTCCCGAAGCCACTCCTGCGTTGTCTAGGCTGTGTGCTTAGGGTCGTTGTCCTGTTGGAAGGTGAACCTTCGCCTCAGTCTGAGGTCCTGAGCGCTCTGGAGCAGGTTTTCTTCAAGGATCTCTCTTTACTTTGCTCCGTTCATCTTTGCCTCGATCCTGACTAGTCTCCCAGTTCCTGCCGCTGAAAAACAACGCCACAGCATGATGCTGCCACCACCATGCTTCACCCTAGGGATGGGGCCAGGTTTCCTCCAGACGTGACGCTTGACATTCAGGCCAAAGAGTTCAATCTTGTTTCTCATGGTCTGAGAGTCTTTAGGTGCCTTTTGGCAAACTCCAAGCGAGCTGTCATGTGCCTTTTTACTGAGGAGTGGCTTCCGTCTTGCCACTCTACCATAAAGGCCTGATTGGTGGAGTGCTTCCAGAGACCTTCTGGAAGGTACTCCCATCTCCACAGAGGAACTCTGGAGCTCTGTCAGAGTGACCATCGTGTTTTTGGTCACCTCCCTGACCAAGGCCCTTCTCCCCCGATTGCTCAGTTTGGCCGGGCGGCCAGCTCTAGGAAGAGTCTTGGTGGTTCCAAACATCTTTCATTTAAGAATGATGGAGGCCACTGTGTTCTTGGGGACCTTCAATGCTGCAGGCATTTTTGGTACCCTTCCCCAGATCTGTGCCTCGACACAATACTGTCTCTGAGCTCTACGGACAATTCCTTCGACCTCATGGCTTGGTTTTTGCTCTGACATGCACTGTCAACCGTGGGACCTTTATATAGACAGGTGTGTGCCTTTCCAAATCATGTCCAATCAGTTTTAATTTACCACAGGTGGACTACAATCAAGTTGTAGAAACAACTCAAGGATGATCAATGGAAACAGGATGCACCTGAACTCAATTTAGAATCTCATAGCATAGGGTCTGAATACTTACGTACATAAGGTATTTCAGTTTTTTATTTTTAAATGTGCAAACATTTCGCTTTGTCATTATGGGGTATTGTGTGAAATTGCTGAGGAGATATATATATATATATATTTTTTAAAAATCAATTTCAAAATAAGGCTGTTATACGTAACAAAATGTGGAAAAAGTCAAGGGGTCTGAATACTTTCCGAAGGCACTGTATAGGCCTAGGTGCTCTACAGGTTATGTACAGTATTTGACAGGGAGTTGAGACAATTAGACATTGTGTCACCTTACATTGCAGATTAGAATATCCCAAAAACGTTGTGATAAATAAACAGGCTAATGTGAAAACATAAACCCACTAACGGTCCCTGTCATAGAGGTTTATGATAAGCGATCTTTCAATCAAGTTTAGCAACTTACTAGTTAGATAATTGTCCATTTGGCCCTGCTGGAACAGGAAATCTGAGTCAACCCACCCAAGCAAGGACTTCTACACCCCCAGCTTCAGTCTGATGAAATGACTGAATCTGTAACTTTGTGTGTGGGCTGAGTCAGACTCTGGGAAGGGCATATTTGCTGTGTAAAAAAAACATTTGTAGATTCTAGTATGGCCATAGGCCTGTCTGTGTAAATGTTTGGAATGTTCCCATTCTGAAGTATCCCACTGACGTCAAACTTCACGGAAGCCTTTCAATTCCTTCGGTACTAAAGAATTTCTCTAAACGGAGAACTACAATCAAAATTACATAGCATATGTCATCTCTCTTGGTTGACTAAGTTGATGGAGATTCAAGAGATCCTTATAAATAAACGTTTTCCCTGCTGTAAGCCTTATCTACCCCTCCTTCTCCTCTCTTCCAAGGTGATGTATTTCTCCTCGGTGTTCCCCTATGTGGTGCTGCTGTGTTTCCTCATCAGAGGGCTGATGCTAGACGGGGCTGCAGAGGGCATCAAGTACATGTTCTACCCTAAGGTATCATAATCATCCACCCAGCACACTGCTTGTATGAACGATAGTTATAAGGGAAAATTGAGGGGCTTTAACTGTTTTATAACTGTAATTCTGGTTTGCTCCAAAGGGGTATGTGGTTTAGAATTTCTCAGCTTTTGCAACCATGGCAATTCACAAACTCCTCGCAATCATGCACTATGCCTAGATACACTACATGACCAAAAGTATGTGGACACCTGCTCGTCGAACATCTCATTCCAAAATCATGGGCATTAATATGGAGTTGGTCCCCCTTTGCTGCTATAACAGCATCAACTCTTCTGGGAAGGCTTTCCACTAGATGTTGGAACATTGCTGTGGGGACTTACTTCCAGAGGCAGGTTGGAGCGAGTGTTGCAACCGAGGACAGACGTATTTTACACTCTTCAGCACTCGGCAGTCCCGTTCTGTGAGCTTGTGGCCTACTACTTCGCGGCTGAGCCGTTGTTGCTCCTAGACGTTTCCACTTCACAATAACAGCACTTACAGTTGACCAGGGCAGAAATCTAACAGGGCAGAAAAAACTGACTTGTTGAAAAGGTGGGAACCTATGACAGTGCCACAGTGAAAGTCACTGAGCTCTTCAGTAAGGCCATTCTACTGCCAATGTTTGTCTATGGAAATTGCATGGCTGTCAGCAACTGGTGTGGCTGAAATAGCTGAATCCACTAATTTGAAGGGGTGTCCACATACTTTTGTGTATATAGTGTATCTATCATGGTAAGATTCAAAGTGCACCATGCCATTTGTTTTCTTCGCCATTGACTCCTTTCCCTCGACTCTTTCCGCCCTATGAATCCTTCTAAAAGAGGAGGGGAAAAGACCCTCAGAGGAAAAAGAACAAAGAAAGAGGGAAAAAGAGAAAAAAGAGGGAAATAAACCAGAAAGAGGGACCCTCCCTCTTTTCCCCTCTCAACCCCTCTTTCCCCCTCTCCCCCTCCCCTCTTTCCCCCTCTACCCTCCCTCTTTCCCCCTCTCCCCCTCCCTCTTTTCCCCTCTCCCCCTCCCTCTTTTCCCCTCTATCCCCTTCCCTCTTCCCCCCCTATCCCCCTCACTCTTTTTCCCCTCCCTCGCTCTTTTCTTCCTTCCATCCAGCTGGAGATCTGGGGTGAGGTGCAGGTGTGGCGCCAGGCGGCCACGCAGGTTTTCTTCGCCCTGGGCCTGGGCTTTGGCTCGGTCATCGCCTATTCCTCCTACAACCCACGCAGCAACAACTGCCACCGCGACGCCCTCACTGTCTCCACCATCAACTTTCTCACCTCCGTCCTCGCCACGCTGGTGGTGTTTGCCGTGCTGGGTTTCCGCGCCAGGGAAGTTGCCATGCGCTGCGTGAAGGAGTGAGTGAGTGTGTGTGTGTGTGTGTGTGTGTGTGTGTGTGTTTTATTTTTTGCTCAGAACTTGAGGGCCAAATAAAATCACCTGCGGGCCAGTTGGAGAAACCTCTTATATGTCATACCTACTCGGTCAGAAAAACCTCTGGGCCATTGCTAAAATGTATAATAAACTGACTGCTTGTTCTCCACCCTCCCCTCTCTCAGTAACTTGGAGAAGCTGTCGGAGCAGTTCTCAGTGGGCCCTCTTGACCGGGACCTGCTGCCCAGGTTCAACATCTCTGACCCCAGCTCGGTGCCCCTGGAGGCCTACAGGGACTGGTTCAAGGGTCACGGAGCCAAGGTCCCTGGGAACCTCACTGACTGCAGCCTGGAGGAGGAGATGAACAAGGTAAACGGTTGATCTTGCACTCAAGCCTGCCTCTTCTTTTACTGCATTCTTTGAGTTACAGCTTTGCCCTCTTTATTTGCAAACCAACCTAACCTGCCTGTTTGTTGCTCCTCCCACTCATTATGAATTAACTAATTGCATTTTAGCAGGTTTATTGCTAGAATGTATATAAAATGTAAAGATAAAGTTTGGCTCTGTTGAGATGCTATGTCATGATAAATGTAAATCTCTCTTTCTCTCTCTCTGCCTCTGTCCCTTTCTCCTTATCCTTCCTCTCTCGCAGGGTGTGGAGGGCACAGGGCTGGCGTTCATAGCCTTCACAGAGGCCATGACTCTGTTCCCGGGCAGTCCCTTCTGGTCAGCTCTGTTCTTCCTCATGCTGCTCAACCTGGGCCTTAGCACCATGTTCGGCACAATGGAGGGCATCCTCACACCCCTCACTGACAACTTCAAAGTGCTTAAGCGCCACAAGACCATGCTCACAGGTAAAGAGTGTGTCGTGACCCCATCAGGCAGCCCAACATGAGTTTGAGAATAGGGTTTAATATTTTTTTCCGGTATTCCTGTTCAAACCGGAAATGCAATTTAAAAGCATATAATTTCAGGGGGAAAAAATCTGACATGACTATACCACTGTAAATCGAGAAATATACACATGGATTGAACTGTTTGATGTACAGTGCATTCGGAAAGTATTAAGACCCCTTGACTTTTTCCACATTTTGTTACGTTACAGCCTTATTCTAAAATGGATTAAATAGTTTTTTCCCCCTCATCAATTTACACACAATACCCCATAATGACGACAGCAAAAACGTTTTGCTAATAAAAAACCTGGAAATATCACATTTACATAAGTATTCAGACCCTTTACTCAGTACTTTGTTGAAGAACCTTTGGTCCTCCACAAGCAGTGTGCAGACATTTTTTGGTACCCTTCCCCAGATCTGTGCCTTGACAAAATCCTGTCTTGGAGCTCTACGGACAATTCCGTCGACCTCATGGCTTGGTTTTTGCTTTGACATGCACTGTCAACTGTGGGACCTTATATAGACAGGGGTGTGCCTTTCCAAATCATGTCCAATCCGTTGAATTTACCCCAGGTGGACTCCAATCAAGTTGCAGAAACATCTTAAGGATGATCAATGGAAACAGGATGCACCAGAGCTCAATTTCGAGTCTCATAGCAAAGGGTCTGAATACTTATGTAAATAAGGTATTTCTTTTTTCTGTTTTTAATACATTTGCAAACATTTCTAAACATGTTTTCGCTTTATCGTTATGGGGTATTGTGTGTAGATTGATGAGGAAAATTGTTAATTTAATCAATTTTAGAATAAGGCTGTAATGTACCAAAATGTGGAGAAGGTGTCTGAATACTTTCCGAATCCACTGTATTTGTTGCAATTTAATTAACTCAAAAAAGTTTGTCCAAAGTCTCCACCATATTTCATTGATGTAGCCTAGTTTTTATGTAGGCCTATAAAGCACTGTTGGCCTACTGGTGAAATGTTATAAGGTTATTACAGCCTAGTGAATACTGGCTGTTTTTACTTTATGATAACCTGCTTATAGTGGTGACTTTGTCACAGGGAACATATCAGATTCTCCTCTAAACAAAGCAAGTAGCGGAGATTCAGCAGCATGGATAGCGCCGCGGTTGATCAATTGCCCGCAAATGCTCTTGCTTTTGTAGTGTAACATCATGTTGAGTAAATATGGCAGGCTGTTAGCGTTGTGATGACTGGTCTAATGTATGAATGAAGCCAGAGAGTTGATATGTCCAATTCATGCAGCTATTTGCACGTGCCTATTTTGCATTAGTGTGGCATAGAAATTGTATATTATTGGTCCTGTCATTATTTTTCTCTGGAAACAGGAAGGAGTTTGGTCGGGAAATCTCGGGATACCGTTTACCGGTATTAAACCCTATTTGGGAACCACTGGAAGAAAACTATACAGATCAAGTCAAGAACAATAAAGCCTTGTTCACGTTGGCAGTTTGAAGTGACTTAAATCCAATATTTTTGCACATCCGATTCGAATCTGTTATTTTTCCTGCGGTCTGAACAGCCAAAAAGCACATGTAATCTGATATTTCACAGCACATTTCAAACCACCTTCGTAGGTTGCAAATGTATTGGATTTGAGTCACTTCAAACTGCCAACATGAACAAGGCTTTATTGTTCTTGACTTGATCTGTATAGTTTTCATCCAGTGGATATTTCTCGCCACATTTCAAACCACCTGCGTAGGTGGTTTGAAATCAGATATAAATCTGATTCCTGGCCATGATTTATTTGGTCTCAAGTGGTTTTTAGACATATCTGGTTACTTGCTAGCTACTCTGACAGTTTTGACAATAATATTTGGTAGCTAACTAGCTTGTTAATTGTTTACAGACAAATTAGTGAATGTGCTAGAAAGCTAAATGGCTACCTAGCTAGCTATACTGAGCAAAAATAAAAACGCAACATGTAAAGTGTTGGTCCCATGTTTCATGAGCTGACATAAAAGATCCCAGAAATGTTCCATATGCACAAAAATATAATTTCTGTAAAATTTTGTCCGCAAATTTGTTTACATCCCTGTTAGTGAGCAATTTTCCTTTGCCAAGATAATCCATCCACCTGACAGGTGAACAATATCAAGATGCTGATTAAACAGCACGGTCATTACACAGGTGCACCTTGTGCTGGGGACAATAAAAGGCCACTGTAAAATGTGCAGTTTTGTCACACAACACAATGCCACAGACGTCTCAAGTTTTGAAAGAGGGTGCAATTGGCATGCTGATTGCAGGAATGTCCACCAGAGCTGTTGCCAGAAAATATAATGTTAATTTCTCTACCATAAGTCACCTCAAACGTCGTTTTTGAGAATTTGGCAGTACGTCCAACCGGCCTCACAACCGCAGACTACGTTTAACCACGCCAGCCCAGGGCCACCACATCCGGCTTCTTAACCTGCCGGACCAGCTACCTGGGCAGCTGATGAAACTGACAAGTATTTCTGTCTGTAATAAAGCCCATTTGTGGGGAAAAACTAATTCTGATTGGCTGGGCCTGGTTCCCCAGTGGGTGGGCCTATGCCCTCCCAGGCCCACTCATGGCTGCACCCCTGCCCAGTCATGTGCAATCCATAGATTAGGGCCTAATTAATTCATTTCAGTTGACTGATTTCGTTATATGAACTGTAACTCAGTAAAATCGTTGAAATTGTTGCATGTTGCGTTTATATTTTTTGTTCAGTATAGATGACTGCTCTGGCTAGCCAAAAAGGACTTGTTTTGAAATTTGGATCATCTTATCCTTTGAGGCTTTAAAAGTGTTCTTACACTATGATTTTGAACATTCAAAGGAACTGGGAAACGTCCATGGCAGGCATTGTTGTCACATTAGCTTGCTACATAACTTCTGAGTGATGGGAAGCACGAGCACCACCACCAATCAGCGTACACCACTGCGCACACACCCGTCGTTACTATTACAACTAGCGTAGCCATGTCAGCAAATGACTGCGGTCTGAACAAACACACATCCAATTTGGTAACTTGTATCTTGCTGTTTAGACTGTCCAGTATTTCAAAGATTTGAAAAACAAAACAGATTTGAGCATTAAGGCCTGCAGTGTGACAAGGCTAAAATGTCTTATTGACATGGGAGTATTAAGACTATCACATTCTTCCCAGTTTGCGCATATATTACGACAACATTTTGTAACGTTTTGGTGTTCGGCAGGGTTTTTTTTTCAGCTGTTCGAGCACACCATTTTTTTTTTCTTGAGGCAAGTCGATGTTCGTTAGCCGACGTCGACGCCCCTTCGTCGGTGATTGGTCAACAGTACTACTCCTAATAGGAGTGGGACCTATGGACGGGATTCTTCAATGAAGTGTTTGTCATTTAACAAGGGAGGACTAGTTTTCATGCACATTTTTTCACTTCAGAAATACTGCACCAAACATCTTAGTTAAATGTATAATTGCGCGATTAAGACCTGCTTGGTAAAAACAAACTTAATTACAGATATCGTGATTTATCTATTTTGAGGAAGTGTATCCTGGCTAAGTTGTTGCTACGGCGTCTTAAGAGGGACTAACATTAATTATATTTCTTGTTTTTCAAGCAAAGGTATTTTCAGGGAGCGTGCGAGGCACAGACGTTTTCTTCGCCGAGTTCTGCTAGGAGGAAACCAAACTTAGTATGCGGTCGCCTTTATAAGATGGCATCATAATGGGGTCTGAGTGTTAGTCCTGACTCCTCTTTAGTAAACATGCCAAGTCTATCTGTGTGGGGTCTGTAACGTTCTCCCTCTATCCCCCAGTGTGTAGCTGCGTCGTCGGCTTCCTGATTGGCATGCTGTTCACGCAGCGCTGTGGGAACTACTTTGTGATGATGTTTGACGACTACTCTGCCACCCTGCCCCTCATCATCGTGGTGGTGTTTGAGTGTTTCAGCGTGTCCTGGGTGTACGGCGCTGACCGGTATGAACCTATTAACTACACTGACTGCATAAACCACATGACAAACCTCCGAAATTAGATGAGACCATTTCTTTCCAGAAAGAGGAATATTCATTAAAGACATGCTCTGGTACATTGATGACTAGTAAGTCTTTTTTTTAAACCTCCCGCTTTGTAGTGATGTGTCAATGTGTAGATCATACATGCATAATCTATGAGCAGATTACCTAAATTAGCCACGAAGTCACTAGTTTGAAAGCAACTGTTTTTTGGAAGGTGTGCAGTGGCATTTTCCCAACATTTACCCCCACATGGGCCAGCCCCCTAGCAAATCGAGTTTCAGCCAATGAGCTTCAGCCCCTCGCCATTTGAGTGACAGCTAGCAAGACACACACACAGTAGAGCGAGAGAGAGCACGTGGTGGACATATCTGCAATTTTCAGGGACCACTTTTGGCTCGTGGGCACTACTTTCAGAACTACTGGCTAAAAAGTGTACAAAAGTACCGGAGAATATATTTAATGAAGAAATGTAGTCACACTTGAATTATTCAGGGTAGAAGAAAGTGGCTCCAGATGTGGATTTAGAACATCGATCCTTCAGGTTGACTCGCTGTGTCTGTCTGTTCCCCCTTGTCTCTCACTGACTATTGCCTTGTATATCTGAATGTTCAGGTTCCTTGATGACATAGAGAAGATGCTGCACTGGCGCCCTCCTGTGGTCTATAAATACCTGTGGAAGTATGTGTGTCTGCTGGCCATGCTGGGGCTGCTTGGAGCCAGCCTGCTGAAGATGTGCTTCAAACGGCCCACCTACACTGCCTGGAACAGAGAAACGGTTAGGCGACACTAGGCTGCTCATCCTTTCCCCCCCCCCCCAACTCCAAGGCTACTTTACCATGGTCAATATATGATCAATTCACGAGTTTAAGGACCAGACATTGAAATGGGTTTAGAATACTTGAGGAAATTGCATGGGATGTGAGAAGGATTTAGGAGGGGAATGAGAACGGGCCGGATGAAGCCAAAGGCTGCAGATGAAGGATCCGGGGCAGACTCTAGAGTTTGGCTTTGAGTCTCAGGTAGACATAGTCAGGCCATGATAGTTAGGCTCTTGTGATGATGGCAATCTCTAAAATCCCCTCCTCCCCCAGGTGATCCTTGGAAGAACCCAAGCGGTACTAGATAGAAGGGATGCAAAACGTGATAAGGCGCAACATCACATGCACTGCAGAACAAAGAGGAACGTTCGTCTGGTTTAAGTAGGGTGGCAGTGGTGATTTGAGAGTGAGGATAGGTGTGGAGGCTGATTAGCAATGAGTTGCAGCTGATGCTGTTGAGGTGCTGCGTTCACAGCAACTAGTTAAAGTGTTGGAACAGGCCTGGAAGCTGAATTGGCAGTTCGTAGCAGCCGGTGCTTGTTGAGTTAGTAGGGAGCTGCGTTCAAGGCAACTAGTTAGTGTTGCATTCATGTCTAGTCCTCTCCTACATTTTTGTTCATTCTTAACACCATTATACGAACTGCAGTTCTTGTGACAATAGGGATATCATTAAGATTCTGCCTTTCTCTCTGTTTTACTTACCATTCTGTCCTCCCTGTGTATGCCTGTTCACGTCTTGGTCTCTACCTGCCCTGCCCACCTGTTTACATTGTCTGTGCCTATTGCTCTCTCACTTTGATCGTATTATATTTAAGCAATAAGGCCAAAGGGGGTGTGGTATATGGCCAATATACCATGGCTAAGGGCTGTTCTTATGCATGATGCAACGCGGAGTGCCTGGACACAGCCCTTAGCCATGGTATATTGGCCATATTGCTATTATAAACTGGTTACAAACGTAATTAGAGTAGTTAAAATAAATGTTTTGTCTTACATGTGGTATACGGTCTGATATACCACGGCTGTCAACCAATCAGCATTCAGGGCTCGAACCACCCAGTTTATAATTGTATTTAATCATCTCGGTCTCTTCCTTAGGCCTCAGAGGTGACTCTGGACTACCCTGACTGGGCCCTGGGCGTCTTGGCTGTTTTGATCATATTTGCCACGTTGCCTGTTCCCCTGGGGTACATCCACTCCATCCTGAGGAACAGAACTAGACGCAACTCCATAGGAAGTGGCCTGGGAACCGACATGGGGGGCGTATACACTAAGTGCAGCACCGTGGAGTGTGACACCCCCGTAGCCGCCCTATTAGACGAACACCTGGAAAGGAATGGAATACCTAAGGATTCTCCCTCGCCATTGGCCGAGGAGAACCTCCGGCTCCTCCCACAGAGGGAAGGGGCGGAAGATATAGATGATTCAACCAGCGTGTAAGGGGGAGGAGAAAACAGAAGGACTAAAAGAGGGAAATTTGAGCTGCTAGCTGTCTTGATGTCAGATATTACATCATGGTACCATGGAAGAATGTATACTGATGTATACATTGAAAAATGTATCTTTTTAAAGATGAAATTACTAGTTTTAAAAGGTCCTCTGCTTTCAGATGTTCTCTCTATTTTAAATAATATGAATGCAGCCATGTCGGGTTACATTTCATTTTTTGTACAGTATTCCAGAGAGGTGAAAAACTGTGCTTTGTCAGTAAAATCCCTAAGGCTCAAACTATTGTTTATAAGTGAGGAGATATGTGTTGCCAAGACGTTGCCCCAAATGTTCAAACCTGCAACTCACCTAAGGTGTTTTTCCACACCACTTTTTTTTAACATCCCATACTTAGTTACTTACAGATAATGCTCATGATATGGGGCGGTAGAGAACTCTTAAGTACTGGAATATTCCCTTCCGCCACAGGTTGGGTGGAAAAGTATAGTTCCACTGTATGATTGTGTTTCTAAGTGAAAGCAGGAAAAGTTACACAGACCGCCCTTGTAACATGTCCTGCAAATATGTTTTGATGTAACTTGGTGAATGCAGGTGCAAAAAGGGTGACAAAATATTTTTTCTTGATGTTTGCCTTCAGTACTAATTACCATACAGAACAGAAGTCATCCACGCACTTGTCAATTAAGACATTGATGGAAATGTGTATAAACTGAATTGCATGTTTTTCAGTTTTAGCCTAAATGTTAACGATCCTTGCCAAAAAAATTTATTGTGCCACTTTGTTGGTAATACGTAACTTTTCCTGCTTTTCACTTTGAAACACAATCAATGGAACTATACTTTTCCACCCAACCTGTGGCGGAAGGGAATATTCCAGTCCTTAAGAGTTCTCTACCGCCCCATATCATGAGCATTATCTGTAAGTAACCAACTATGGGATGTTAAAAAAACATGAGTGGTGTGGAAATACATCTTGCAGTATTGAACATGTGAGGCAACGTCTTGGCAACACATATCTCCTCACTTATAAACAGTTTGAGCCTTACGGATTTGACTGAAAAAGCACAGTTGGTATTAAGGTTCCATGTATAAAATCAATGTATCTATTTGATCAGTATAGGAGCACGAGCACCTGTTGTGAAGTTGAAAATGAATCTCCGCACACTCAGGGTCGATGCACAATTTTCCATTTCTTTAGGCTGAGCTTTCGGTCGTCAGACCTTCATCAGAGCATGAATGATTTCTTTACGCAAATGGTTACAATTTAGCTTCCTTTTACTTGAGCCTATTGGTCTTGATTCAGTTTGTTTGGAAGTGGCTCCGTATTCTCAATGCTGTATTTTGTCTGTTGATGTGGATATGAGCCATGAACTTTACTTAGTGAGGTCCAATAGTATTTGGACAGTGACAATTTTGTTGTTTTGGCTCTGTACTCCAGCATTTTGAGAATGTTAAAGTGCAGACTGTCAGCTTTAATTTGAAGGTGTTTTCATCCATATCGGGTGAACCGTTTAGAAATTACAGCACTTTTTGTACATAGTCCCCCCCCCCCCCCCCCCCCATTTTAGGGAACCAAAAGTTTCTGGACAAAAAAACACTTATTATTAAAGTAGTCAAGTTAGTATTTGGTCCCATATTCCTAGCACGCAATGACTACATCAAGTTTGTGACTACAAACTTGCTGGATGCATTTACAGTTTGTTTTGGTTGTGTTTCAGATTATTTTGTGGCCAATAGAAATGAATGGTAAATAATGTATTGAGTCACTTTTATGTAAATAAGAAACATTTTCTGAACACTTCTACATGAATCAGTCCCTCCAGGATTTTGTGGTTCTGTGAAATGTCACTGTCCAAATACTTCTGAACCTCAATGTACATTCCACTTTACTTTTAGATGGATTTTAATGTTAAGGAAGTATTTTTTACTAAAACATATTATTCACATTGTGTGTTAAGATACACATTTGTATAAATAGTACTTTGAGAAAATGTAATAATGCAAGTTCTATTTTTAAAGTTCTCCTTAGTGTAAGTGTTTATTTTTTACATTACAAAAATAAATGCATCAGGCTAGAATTATGGTAGATTTTTCTGACTTGTGCTTGTATTTTAAATGTTTGTTGCCTTAAAAGCTCATGCGTCAAACTCATTCCACGGAAGGCCGAGTGTTTGTGGGTTCTCTCCTCCCTTGTACTTGATTGATGAATTAAGGTCACAAATTAGTAAGGAACTCCCCACACCTGGTTGTGTAGGGCTTAATTGAAAGGAACCACCAAAAACCTGCAGACATTAGGCCTTCCATGGATTGAGTTTGACACACCTGTGACAATCATAGTGTCAATCTGCAGGTGCCACACATTTTGGGATTTAATAAATTAATGACTTGGGTTCTAACTTGAAATATAGTTATTCCTGTTACCATATTAGAACGTATTCATTACGTTACATGTATAATACATTTATACGTAGGGGTCAATGAAGGGTGAATAGGAACTTTGTGCATGGAAAGTTACTTAGTGAGACAAGGGGAAGTACAAATAGTTTGTCTGTTCAAACATGTTATTGCTGAATATTAATATTTCTAAGGAAGGAGGTAAAGAGTAACAGTTTAGTCTCAGTTCCTGAAAAGGCAGGCCTGTTGATGTCAAACTAGGACCAGGAGGGATGTGGAACTCAACTCGAGGTAATGTCAACAGTTGAAAATAGAAGAAACACACTTCCACACCTATGAAGGTTCTAGACTTAGGTAGGGCCATGACAATACCAGTAAGAGGAACAGACTGGGTTCCTGCCTAGCAACAGATTGTTTATCTTAGACCAGGGGTTCCCAAACTTTTTGCCCACAACTCCATTTTGATATCTGAAAATTCAAGTGACTCCAACCATGTGAAAAAATTTTAAATTAACAGCCAATGTTTACTTTTTTATTTGGGGCTATGGCAGTCCAATTGAAAAACATTCTAACAGTAGGCAATTTCTGATTGTCTTACCTCACCATCACATACTTTTAATATGGGGCTATGACAGTCAATTGCACATTAGTCTGACGTGTCTCTTATCTCACCACCACTAATGAGATGGGTGTGGCTTGATGCATGTCGCGTCTCAAAGTCAGGGGGCGTGGTCAACAGTGCGCACCTCATCTCTGCTGTCACATACAACCTGGATCGATATTTGGTTTTAATGCAGACGAGAGCACTGAATCCAGCTTCACAGCGATATGAGCTGGGGAAGGGTACCATGAGTTTTATGGTGCTTTCAAGACAACTGGGAACTGTTAAATAGCCATCACTAGCACATTCGAGGCTGCTGCCTATTGAAATCGCTGACCACTTTAATAAATGGAACACTGGTCACTTTAATAATGTTTACATATCTTGCACTACTCATCTCATATGTATATACTGTATTATTTTATATAATATTCTACTGTATCTTAGTCCATGCCGCTCTGTCATTGCTTGTCCATATATGTATATATTCTTAAATTCCATTCCTTACTAGATTTGTGTGTATTGAGTATATGTTGTGAAATTGTTAGATATTACTGCACTGTCGGAGCTAGAAGCACAAGCATTTCGCTACACCCGCAATAACATATGCTAAACACGTGTATGTGACAAATCAAATTTGATTTTAACTCTGAAAAATACGAGGTCAAATCATGACGTCAGTGATCTTCAGATTGGAAAGTCGGCGCTCTAGAAAGCGCCCAAGTTGGAATTCCTAGTTGGTTGTCTTTAACACACTGAAGTCGGAGATTTCCGAGTTCCCAGTTGTTTTGAACGCGGCATTAATGCTCAGAGGGAGACTGCAGGGTATTCTTTTTGAGTCAGGAACCAAAACTCCTCCATAGTGAATGCGTTGTCTGCATTATTCGGTCACATGACAGCTCGATCAGCTGTTCGATTTCACTTACCAGCATGTCAACTGAGCCAGGATCACAGTCAAATGGATTGGGAAGTAGTTCCCAAAGTGCCCTTCCAAGTGTTGGAGGTGAGCTGTCATCACTCGTGGGACATTTACTGATGCTGTTTTCTGTTAGAAACATGCACAGCCGAGGGAAGGGGGCATGGTTTCGCTTTTGAAAGACTCTCCAAAAATAATTATTTCCTCTGAAGTGAATCCACTGATTCGGTCACTCATCTGTAGAATGTTTTTGTATTTCCCCTGCATGCTTGCGTTCAGTTTCCCAGTCTGTTACATAGGCAAGAATACACATTTTCTTTTCATTACACAGAAAGTCAACCAAGTCAGTTTTTTTTTTTTTTTTACATCCATTGTGAATGACAACATTCCCCTTCGATAACCACCTATCCTCGGTGTGAAATAGCTCTGATCCCATAGCACCACATAGTTTTGCGAACAGTCATGCGCGCAGTGGATGTGATTTGATGTACAGTATATAGTTTACAATCGAAGTTACCTGCTGCAGTATATCTCAGAGTTCTGTGCTCAGCTCTTTTGCCGCCAGTTGTTCTCGTGTATCATACAAATGCATCCATATGGCAGAGAGAAACACATTCATAACAAGAGTGCAGAGGCCTGCCTGCCTGCCTACCCGCCATAGATGGAGCACCATCTGTGCAAAAGCCCACCATTCGATCCCATGGAATTTTCGTCTATATAGCCACACTGCACACTGAATATCCGCTGTGCCGTTTCATGCTCAGGAATCGCGAGACGGAACAATATGTCCTTGTGAATAGCATACCCCGAAATGTACAGTGCCGTGAAAAAGTATTTGCCCCTTTCAGATTTTCTCA